CGTTTGACTCTGATCTTCTTCGAGTAATGCTCTAATTCTTTGTCTTCGAATTTTTTGGCTGTCCAGAGCGAGGCTTGTCTTCAACGCTGAAATCTCCATCCTTGAAACGTCGAAACCATTCGCTACATGATTTATCAGTTGGAGCAGTGTCACCATAAACTTTGACAAGCATTCGATGATTTCAGTTGCACTTTTCTTCCAATTAAAGCAAAAAATTAGAACCTCTCGCAAATGCTGCTTGGTTAACACAAAATTCGACATTTCAAACACAGTAAAAATCAAGATTTTTGTATGAAACTCAAAGCGATATAAACTGAATATTATTAGCAGATCTAACCTCTCTGAAAACGCCAAAATCAGTTGTCACTATGAACCATTCACAACAGCTAGAGCCAGCTTTTGGGAAATTAATTGAACTAATTTGTACTCCCAATAGTTAATCCGTTTAATTTAAATATGTTTTCACGTAACATTGAGGATGACTCGATCGAGCTCGAAACGACGTTTGTTATTAATTTGTTTTAGTTCTTGATAATTATATTTGTTTTTTTTATTTACATATTTATGTTGTTTTTTGGTTCATAGCCTTTCTTAACATGTATTTTTAATTTGTATCAAGAGTATAGAATATATCACTCAAAAATTGCCAATTGACAAGAGAATTGATATCATAAATTATTCGATACTCATACTTAATAATCTATAGTTTCCTATCCTTTTTTCACAACACCCATTGACATAAAATTATTAGAATTGTTATTGTTAAAAGATTTCTGAAAATTAAATCCTGACATAATATTCATATATGCTGACAAGGGTAACATCACTGTTATATTAGCCCTTGAAAAAGACTTTTACATTAATAAAGTGAGTGAAATGCTTAGCGACACGGATGCCTATGAAACAAAAAAAGAGATCCTTTTAAAAAAATCTCTTAGAATCATGCTTACAAGATGGAGGACTTGCAAATATATTAATGATGCCCAATATAAATATTTATATTTCAGTGATGGGTCACTTCTGGCTTATGCAGTGCCGAAGATTCACAAACCGAATTCCTTTTAGGATCAATGTTTTTGTTGGAAGCGCGCTCTCAATACCGTTGACATAGAGGGTGAGACGCGTATTACCGGCCGAGAAGCGAATTAGAGGAAGGTGCCGGAAGGGCCGCGTGTAAACGGAAGAAGACGAGATCGGATCACGAGCTGAGGGAGTGCTGTCCATTCGCGCCAATAGAACTTTTGCCTTTTTACTGCTATTATTACTACGAATAATCCGAGCCGTATGCTCTCAATGTTTTGCAATAAAGTAGCGTGTTCGTGTAAAATACGAAGAAGTGTCTAATATTATTGAGAATCTTACAATCCCGAAACCGCTGCAACATTCTGGTGACCATGACAGGACTGAATAATTTCGTTGTAGCCGTTTTATAGCAAGCAGAGATCATAAGAAATCTGTAGACATGGAACAAGTAAAGCTAACGCTAAGAATAACATGATCCGCCTTTACGAGAGTGTACGCTTCCTTCCTGACTGAGCAGTCGAAGGGACCGTCGGACATAACCTCATTGCAAGTCAGCTGCGCATTGCTACGAGACAAAAGTGAGCTTAATGGGCTAAATCAGAAGCTGCAGACCTTGACGATTGAAGCGGGAGAAGTCATTGGAAGAGAGGCACAACACGCAGATGAGTATGCCACGAAATACCATCAAGCAAAGGTCGGGCTAACTTATCTATTAGAGCGGAAGAATGAATTCGAAACACTGACACCGGTTCCGTTGCAACGGACTACCACGACAACACAGGAAAGTATATGAGCATTAAAATTGCCGAAAATTGAATTAAGAAAATTTGGCGGTGATATCAAAGATTGGCTTCCGTTGGAGTACTTTTAAGAAAATTCACGAAAACGCGACGTTGTCGAGGGAAGATAAATTCCAATATTTAGTACAGTCTATGGTAAAAGACTCGCGCACGTTTGAATAGTGAATAGTTGTCCACTAACGGCCGGTAATTATGAGAAAGCTATACACAGCCTCGAGTCTCGATTCGGCAAAAAAGACTTATTGATTGAATATTATGTGCGCGAACTTTTAAAGTTAGTCTTAAGTAAGAATAAAAGCATGGCGCTCACAATCACTTATGATAAATTAGAGACGCATATACGAACATTTAAAACTTTAAGTGTGACAACAGAAATGTGCGCAGCAATATTGCTTCCTTTAGTAGAATCCTCACTGCCTGAAGAGACCTTGCGTACATGGCAACGAACAAGGGCTCAATTCCTCATTCTGACGCGTCTGTCATAAATGTTACTGCAAAAGATCGTCTTACTAGTCTAATGACTTTTCTAGGA